ACAAACCTCCTTCTTGCCTGGGGACTAGACTGCCTTTATAGGACGAACAGATTAGCCACGAGATTAGAAATTATGGTTTAGGAGTCCTGCAGCTGGAGGCTACAAGATTCTGACCCTCCCTAAACTGCTCCTAAAATCAGTGCTTGAGATATTTTGCAGACCCTGCACTTGATGGATCAGCTGGCACCACCCAGATCCATAAAGTGGCTCATCCGATCTCTTGGCCTCCACCTAGGAACTGACTCAGCACAAGATGACAGCGTCAACTCCCTATGATTTCATCTCTGACCGGACCGATCGGCACTTACAGCTCACTGGCTTCCCCGCTCCCAGTAAGTTGTCCCTAAAAACTCTGATGCCAGGCCTGGCGCAGTGGCCGATGCCTGTAATCCCAGCACTTTGGGAGGCTGAGGCAGGCGGATCACTTGAGGTCAGGAGTTCGAGACCAACCTGGCCAACATGGTGAAACCCTGTCTCTACTAAAAATACAAAAACTAGCCTGGCATGGTGGCGGGCACCTGTAATTCCAGCTACTTGGGTGACTGAGGCACAAGAATCAAGTGACAATCACTTGAACCTGTGAGGCGGAGGTTACCTGAGACTGAGTTTCCCCATCTCTACTAAAAATACAGAGACATGGCCATGATGTCACGTGCCTGTAATCCCAGCTACTTGGGAGGCTGAGGCAGGAGAATCACTTGAACCTGGGAGGCAGAGGTTGCAGTGACCCAAGATCATGCCACTGCACTCCAGCCTGGGTGACAGAGCGAGACTCCATCTCAAAAACAAAAGGTGCAAAACTTTCAATTTCTTTAGGATTGGGAGGGCCTGGGGAAAAAAAAAAAGATCTAGCTATGTTAATAGAGATTATTTACAGATGCAAAATTTCCCCCCAAAAGGACAGCTTTGCAGGGCCATATGAAGATATGGCAGAGAAACAAGTCTTGGGGTAAAATATTTTGATTTCCTTCCTTGTCTCGTACTGTTATTCCAGAGTCAGATTGGAAAGTAAGTCACAATATACAGGGTTAAATAAAACCCATCTGATGAGAATTTGTGCTTTGTAGGGCATGACTCCCCAGATAGGAATTTGGGCAAGATTAAAAAAAAAATCAGAGCTTAGTCCTCAGATCAGAGGATCTAGCGTGACATCCCATAGCCGGTCATGCCAGCCTGAGACACCCCACAGTTGGTGCCCATCTGTACCCCAATCATGTTCCTGCCCTCTTGTAGCTGGTTGTCTGAGAAGTTCCAAGGATTCTCCTTGGGTTTCTTAGGGAACCATATGGGAGCCCCAGAGAACAGCCCATCATCCTGGGCTACTGGCAGCCCACCTAGGTTCATCAGGATCCACTGCACACAGGGCATGTCCTTTCCTCCCCGGGGGTGCACAGTTTGGAAGATGTCGGTGGTGTTAATGCTATAGCGCTCAGCTGCTTGCAGGCACTGAGATAATCTGCTCCATCTGCTTTAAGGCCATGGTGGAGGCCCGGGTCTTCTTTACTGGGGCCTGCCCCTCGGGGCGCAGTGCGTTAATGAGCTCACATAGCTCTGTGCCCTCCTTGAGGAAATTCTGGAAGTTCTCGTGTCCAGGCTGGGGCCAGCCCACATGCTTTTGGCACTGGGTGGTGATCCATTGATCTGCTCCAGGTCTGCGTCATATGGATTCTCAATTTTCTGCTGCACCTCCTGGCTCAGGCCACATGCAGGTACCCTGTTGGCCATTCCAATGGGTGGTAGGAGCTGTGGGGAGCATTCACGCAGGCTGGAGTGCCATGCACTCAAGGCAGGGGCTGTAGCAGCTAATGATATTATTAATATATTGGTGTACGTCTCCTATTTTGTTTTCTGTTGCTTCTCCCCTGTTTTTGTCTTTATGGGTTTTTTTTTTTCTGTCTTCCTGTAGGTTATTTGAACATCTTTCAGATTTCCTTTTTTTATTAGTGTTTTTAAGTATATCTCTTTGATTAGGTTTTAGTGGCTGCTGTAGGTAGTTTATATATTAGGTTGGTGCAAAAGTAATTGCGGTTTTTGCCATCACTTTTTTTTTTTTTTTCATTCTACAAAACACAACTTTATTTTCAGAAAGGAAAGGACACCTAAAATAGAACTGTCCTGTGCGGATGTCCAATAGCCTTAGTGTGGTGACCAAATGCCCCCTGGCCATTGGGAAGACAGATCTTGTAAGTCGCATTCATCCAGTCACTCACCCATTCATTTCTACTGAGACAGGCAAGGATAGAAGTTCCTGCCATCGTGTTCTGATGAAGGGCATATTTGCCATTACCTTCAATGGCAAGAACTGCAATTACTTTTGCACCAACCTAATACATACTTGATCGTCATTTTATTACATTAGTATATATAAAACAGGTTTTTTTGTTTTGTTTTGTTTGTTTTTTTGAGACAGAGCCTGGAGCGCAGTGGTGCGATCTCGGCTCACCGCACCTTCCACCTCCCGGGTTCAAGCGATTCTCCTGCCTCAGCCTTCCAAGTAGCTGGGATTACAGGCATGCGCCACTGTGCCTAGCTAATTTTTTTTTGGTATTTTTAATAGAGATGGGATATCACCATGTTGGTCAGGATGGTCTGAAACTCCTGAACCAAAACGATCCACCTGCCCCTGCCTCCCAAAGTGCTGGGATTACAGGTGTGAGCCACTGCACCTGGCCAAAACCAGTTTTATTCAGAAACTTTTTTAAAAGAAAAATTCCTTCTTAAAAAATAACAACAGAGAGTCAGAACAAATGGTATACTGGATCAGATGCTGGAAAAACAGGAGTTAGGAAAAGTAACCTGGACATTCTTAGCCCTTTGCCTGCCGTTTCTCAGCTCCAAATCTGCCTGTGCATGTTCCTCTCTTTTATGCTGTGTCTGGGATGCTGCACTGTTCCTTTAACAGATTTCTTTGCTAGCTGCATTCCTGCAAAGCTCTGTCAATAGTGGGCACTAGAGGAAAATTGGAAGGTAACAGAAAAGAAGAAGGGACTTTCTTCCTTCTGACTTGCTCTTTCAGCCAGTGTTACCCCCAAAACAACACTTTACAAATAGTTGGCTCCAGCTTCCAGCTACTTTAGGTGCTCCTTGAGAACCAACCTCATTGAGCCCTCTCACAAATATCAATAGCAGCTGAGTGATGCTTTCTCTTCATAGACGCTCCTCCGAGTTTCTAGGCAGTGGTGACTCCCAACCTCTTCCCTTTAGTTATTCCAGTACTATAAGAATTAGTTGCTCTCTGTAGCCCTCTAGGATACCTCAGTATTGCTTTCTGCTCGTTCAGCTTTCTGACACCTGAAACAAATCCTCTATATTAAATCCCTGATAAGGTTTGGATCTGTGTCCCTACCCAAATCTCATCTCGAAATCTCAAATTGTAATCCCCACACGTCAAGGAAGGGCCCTGTAATCCCCACGTGTTGGGGAAGGGAAGTGATTAGATTATGCTGTTCTAGCGACAGTGAGTGAGTCCCATAAGATCTGATGGTTTTCAAAAGTGGCAGTTTTTGTCCCGCACTCTCCCTTCTCTCTCCTGCCGCCCTGTGAAGAAGGTCCTTGCCTCCCCTTCGCCTTCCGCCATGATAGTAAGTTTCCTGAGGCCTCCCCAGCACTGTGGAACGGTGAGTCAATTAAACCTCTTTCCTTTATAAATTACCCAGTCTCAGGTATTTATTTATAGTAGTGTGAGAATAGGATAATACAATCCCTTCTGTGATTTCTGTTTTTCTAATTGGACCCTGACTGATGACACAGGGGAAGGGAAAGGGCAGGAAACTATATATATCTATATATAAACTATATATGCTGTCTCTTATACACATCTAGATGTGTATAAGAGACATGTGAAGAAGGTCCTTGCCTCCCCTTCGCCTTCCGCCATGATAGTAAGTTTCCTGAGGCCTCCCCAGCACTGTGGAACGGTGAGTCAATTAAACCTCTTTCCTTTATAAATTACCCAGTCTCAGGTATTTATTTATAGTAGTGTGAGAATAGGATAATCCAATCCCTTCTGTGATTTCTGTTTTTCTAATTGGACCCTGACTGATGACACAGGGGAAGGGAAAGGGCAGGAAACTATATATATCTATATATAGATATATGAAATATATAGATATATGGATTTTATGTATAGATGAAGATTTTATATATATATATATGTCTTTTGTGTACCAAGTATACAAATAATAAATATCAATAATTTTATATGTTACTAGTTATAGCTGTGATTTATTGAGGACCTAGTCTATTACTCTTTGCCTGACTGCTTTCTTCTCATGTTGTAAGTTTCTGCTTGAATTTAGTCTCAGAGAGGTTTTCCCTGATTACCTTATCAAAAGCAACTGCTGTTCCCTGTTATTCTCTGCTTCAGCTCATAAACCTTGTCCTTTATAGTACACAAAACAAAGCATAATCGTTTGATTTTTCTGGTCTGTCTTCCCCACTAGAATGTGAGCTCCATGAGAGGGAGGCCCTTGTTGGTCTTGTTCACTGCTGTCTCCCTAAAGCCTAGCATAGTGTTTGCCTCATAGTAGGTATATGTGAGTATTTTTAAAATATTAGTGTGTCCATTATATATTCTTGCTTAACGAGCCATGCTAAAATGTAGTGGCTTGAAACAAAACAGTAATTTCTCATGATTTTGTGGTCTGGCTGCGTGGTTCAACTCACCATAATGTAGAATCAGTGGGAGCCCTGAGCTTGCTTTCCTGGGCTCACTGAAGAAGCTGTGTTCAGCTGGTGGGTTGGCTGGAACTGGAAGGTCCCAGAGGGCCTCACTTGGTGGGGACAGCTGGAAGATTGGGGCCTCTCTCTTTACGTAGGGTAGCCCAAATTTCTTTACATGGCATCTGAGTTCCAAGAGTGTAAGCCTCAATGTGCACAATTTTTTTTTTTTTCTTTTTTTGAGACAGAGTCTGGCTCTGTCGCCCAGGCTGGAGTGCAGTGGCACGATCTTGGCTCACTGCAACCTCTGTCTCCTGGGTTCAAGCGATTCTCCTGCCCTCAGCCTCCCAAGTAGCTGGGACTTGAGGCGCCCGCCACCATGCCCAGCTAATTTTTGCATTTTTAGTAGAGACGGGGTTTCACCGTGTTGGCCAGGCTGAATGTGCAAATATTTATTGAGCCTCTGCTTGGGTCACAGTTATGTCTCATTAGCCAACAAGTCATATGACCAAGCCCAGAGTCAATATGGGAGGAGGCTACCCAAGGGTATGAATACCAGGAATATCAGTAGGTCTGATTCAATGGGAGCCATCAGTACAACAGTATATAATTTTGTATACATTATTGCTAATACTGACAGCAGCCTGCTACATAGTTGCTATTTCTTTTTTTTTTTTTTAGACGAAGTCTTGCTCTGTTGCCCAGGTTGGAGTACAGTGACACGATCTCAGCTCACTGCAACCTATAACCTCCTGGGTTCAAGTGGTTCTCCTGCTTCAGCCTCCTGAGTAGCTAGAATTACAGGTGTGCACCACCACGTCCAGCTAATTTTTGTATTTTTGGTAGAGATAGGGTTTCACCATGTCAGCCAGACTGGTCTCGAACTCGTGGCCTCAAGTGATCCCCCCTGCCTTGGCCTCCCAAAGTGCTGGGATTACAGGTGTGAGTCACCACACCCAGCCTATTGTCTTTTTTTTTTTTTTTTTTTTTGAGACACATTCTTGCTCTGTCACCCAGGCTGGAGTGCAGTGGCGCGATCTTGGCTCACTGCAAGCTCTGCCTCCCAGGTTCACGCCATTCTCTGCCTCAGCCTCCTGAGTAGCTAGGACTACAGACACCCACTATTTTTTTTTTTTTTTTTTGGTATTTTTAGTAGAGATGGGGTTTCACCGTGTTAGCCAGGATGGTCTCAATCTCCCAACCTTGTAATCTGCCCGCCTCGGCCTCCCAAAGTGCTGGGATTACAGGTGTGAGCCACCGTGCCCGGCATCTGTCATCTCTTTTAACCCAGCAGTCCCCAACATTTTTGGCACCAGGGATCCACTTCATGGAAGACAATTTTTCTATGGACCGGGGGTGGCAAGGATGGTTTCAGGATGATTCAACCGCATTACATTTATTGTGCACTTTGTTTATAATATTATTACCTTGGAACATGTAATAATTATACAACTCACCATAATGTAGAATCAGTGGGAGCCCTGAGCTTGCTTTCCTGCAACTAGACAGTCCCATCTGGGGATGAGGGGAGACAGTGACAGATCATCAGGCATTAGATATTCATAAGAGGTGTATAACCTAGATCCCTTTCATGTGCAGTTCACAGTAGGGTTCATGTTTCTATGAGAATCTAATGCCACCACTGATCTGACAGGTGGATGGAGCTCAGGCAGTGATGTGCTGGGGAGCAGCTGTAAATACAGATGAAGCTTCTCTTGCTTGCCACTTCCCTCTTGCTGTGTGGCCCAGTTCTTAACAGGCCATGGACCGGCACCAGTCCATGGCCCAGGGGTTGGGGACCAGCACCAGTCCACGGCCCAGGGATTGGGGACTCCTGTTTTAACAGACTAAGACTCTAAGATCCACAGAAGTCAAGTAACTTGTCCAAAGGTCATAGCAATTAAGTGGCAGAAAATTCTAATTTTGATTCCGAATTCTGTGACCTCTCACCGTATCACAGTCTTCTGGGAAAACAAGGTAGAAAAAAGATGACAACTCAGGAGAGAACTTCAACCTATGTTTTCATTTGAATGGAAAACACAATAGGTTTTATTTTCTTTTGCATGTAGTGGAGAAGATGAGTGAGCCAGATGATACGGGCTAAAGTGATTTTTAAATACCTCAACTGTC